GACAGCTAATCTCACCAAGAGAACCCTCTATTGCTCATTCACAATAGCAGGCTGGGAGACTTGCCTATCCAAAGATTCAGTGCATTCTACACCATTTAAAATATGTATGTATCCTAAGGAAGAAGAGAACAGTACTCATACTTTACTGGTGAAGTGTGTGAAACAGACAACAGTTATACAATTTAAACAGTGTCACAGTGTCAGCAATGAGTGGGCAGAGATAAGCAGGCACTAGAACCCTCTGGCATTTATGAACTCAAAACTTCTTCCTCCTGTTGATCAAGGAGGTCAGGGGCTTTTATCATTGTAACTGATTTAAATGCTTTGCAAGTCAGGAGTAGAGAAGCAATTCCTTAGAAACATTATTTCTTTTCTGTTATGAAAAATCTACCCACATTCTTCAGAAGCAGGACAACTTGTCCAATAGTGTTTGCATCACCATGGAGTGCTTGGCAGCCATCAGCACTTTGGAAGCACCTCAGCAATGTACATTTGGGAACACTTTCCACCACAGGTTTTCTCCTTCATGTACATTCTTGTCATTTGATATATACTGGAACATCAAAAGATGTGAAATAACTCATCCAAAGATGATACTGCTACCTTTAATTTATCCTTTACACTGAATCCCAGAAGAGCAACTGGAAGAAAAAATGTGGAGATATCAGGTTATTAAACAACACTGTCTTTTAAACTGTTTTTCCTTTCCTTTGCAATTTGCAAAATCCTGTTCACAAAGGAGGTATTAAAAGCAATCAGTCTTGTTTCCTGAAGAGTACAATATTAATTATTCACATCAAACCCCTTGAAGAACAGATGAGGTCAGACAGCAACAAGTGCAAGGGGAAGGGGAACTAAACGTGTCCAGGCACTGTGCAGAAAATGAGGATGTCTGCATTTCTGAAGGCAAACAGAACAGAGATGTCTCCAGTAAGAAATGTGGGACATTGACCCCACAAATGCCTACCCTGCCCACACCCAGGTTATCTGATGGGCTTTCTTGCCTGGAATCTTGGGAAGTGACACATGTAATACACATTGAATTCCTCTATGCTCCTGCTTTATGCATCAAGCCTATTTGAAGTAATTTGATACATGCCATCAACTCTAATAGCCTGAGAAATCTGGGTTTCATTGTCCTATAAGTGCTCTGCCTTTTCTACCTCTTTTTATGAGGCTTCTTTTTAAAGCACCTCAAACAGTCTATGAATTAAGCAAACTCATCTTATTAGAGGAGTCCCTAGGGTGCCTTCAGTACTTCAGCTTCTAACTTCAGACCCTGGACACAATCAATGAATGAATCAATAATAATCAATGCACAGAGCATTTCAGCAGGATTAATGACTGGCTGGGAGGTGCTGATGGGCAGAAATTAAGTCAAGGGCCATTAATCCCAGCTGGTCATTTGCCTCAAGGCAGTGCTTTGTGCCAAGGTCATTACTGCTATTCTAAGACAAAAATAAAAGGAAGCTGACATCGGCACATGGATATTTTTAACCTGGCTTTTGCAGAGTCAGTGGCTCTGTATGACTCTTTCTATTAAATGTGAACCCCATTCCAGCAGGCACTTCCAGTGCATAAGGTGTCCCAGCAGCATTTTCTCCATTTAGTGAATCAGCAGGTGTTTTCAACCACCTGCAGGTTGCACAGACATGTCCTGGGGTTTATGGAGCCTGGCAGACCACTGTCTCCTGCAGTGAGGATTTACTCACTCCCTCTCTACACTCAGCTGTGGTAGGATAACAATTCTGCATGGGCCAAATTCTAAGAATTTTGTCAACCCCATATTGTGTCTACTTGGCCCTCAAAAATCCTGTCAGCTCAAGACAGAGAGGGATCACAGAAGGAAAAGCACTTCTAAAGTTCTGGATAAGCCCCAGGATGTTCATCTATCCATACAGACACAAACACACACAAACAGATGGAGTGACATTAGAACTATAAACTTAGGATCCTAGAACGGTTTGGGTTGGAAGAGATCAAAGATCATTGAGTCCCAACATTCCTGCTGTGGGCATTCCTTCTGCTGGACCAGGTTGCTCAAAAGCCCCATCCAAACTGGCCTTGAATACTCCCAGAGATGGGGCTCTGACAAACCTGTTTCGGTTCCTTACCACCCTCAAAGTAAAAACATTTCTTCCTAACTTCTAATCCAAACCTACCCTCTTTCAGTTCAAATCCATTACCCCTTGTTCTATCATGAAATGCCATTGTTAAAGTCCCTCTCCAGTTCTTCAAAGCACCCCAAATTCATTCCAGTGTGTATCCTGAGTGTGCATTCCTAAGGCTCAAGCCTGTCCCTTACTCCCTGTGCCTGCAGACTGTGTAAATTGAGATATATAACAGGACCAACAGTGAGGGAACAATCCAAGTCAGGCTCCTTCACATCAGGATGCAGCTGTTTCTTTTTGCAAGGCACACATATTATGGATGGCTCTACATTGCTCTTGGTTGGTTGCCATGAGAAAGGAGCTAAGCAGTCCTAATCATGCTAAATCATAATGTTACAGGGTCCAGGAGATTGCCTTGTTTACTTGCTGTAAAATGCACTGAGGTGCATTCAAAACACTGCTTGAAATTTCTCCCCATTTCAGGATATTCATGTCATTCAAACAGAAAACTGACTAAATTGAAGTGCCCCTCTGCTGCATGCAAAAACAACATGCAGCTAAAAATTATAGTCTGAGCCTCCCCATGTGCTGTACAACCCCACAGGTGGACTAATTTTCCTCTCAAAATGAAAATATGAAAGCTCTAAAAAATGTTTTGAATTGACATGATCTTTTGAAGGTAAAGATACTAGATGAAAATACCTGAAAAGGCATCTTCTACTTTCTGATAATTGAACAAGTTTACCAAAGATGTTACTTGCTTTCCAGGAATTTTGGAAAATTTATATCCCAGGGAACATAGTCCAGTAAAAAAAAAATAAAGAACAGAGAGCATTTGGCTCAATAGACAAAGTAAATAATCCCATGAGGGGAGGAATTTTTGTTTGTTTTATTTGGGCAGAAGAAGAAAAAAACAGATGAAGTTTGTATTCAGTGCAAACATGATGTCAGTAGCAATAGTGTACAGACTGGAACCCCTCCATGTGCTGTGTGAATAGTAGTTACTATCTGTGTGTTATTTGATGTAATCCAGCTTTTGCTAAACAAAAACCACCTAGACAAACTGGTTCCTGTTCATATTCTGTAGGCATTTAATGATTTATAGATATTGCCTACACCCCTCTTATGGTCTGTCATAGAATGGATGTCAGAAAGAACTATATATATGTGTGTATTTTTCTCTATAGCAAAGCAAATTTTCTGTTGAAACATTAACAAGGCAGGCTGTGTGTTGCAAGAGAAGCTGATCGGGTGCTATTTTAATGCTTGAAAAACTTAATGGTTGGCAAATAAAGCAGTTTTCTGCACACAGTTTGTGTCACATTGTTTAATGAAAGTAAGAGAAAAAATGGCTCACTTAATGACTTGAAATCCTGAGGAAATTATGCAGAACTAGGTAGAAATCTGGATACTGTGGGCTGGAAAATGTAACCTCTGTAGCTTCAAGAGAAGCAATGACAGTCTAGTGTTGGCCTAATTATCTTCCCTAATAACTGAATCATTCTAAGCCCATGGCTACAGACATACTATAAGATGTTTCTGGTGTGATTTAGAAGTTGGTGTTAACACCGTTCAATTAGCAAATTGCTACCTCAGCCTGCACAGGCCCATATTTAGGTAAAAAGTGTAACTGCAGCAGTACCCTGGGTTTGTTCCCTGATCCACCTCCAGGGTTTAAGCCCAAGGTGTGTATAGAGACAGGCATATCCAATGAGATGTGGTGTTCTGGGAGCTTTCTGGAGTGCCAGCTGCACTGCAGGTCCTGCCAGCTCACACCAACCCAGCCAGCACTGCAAGCAGCATCCTGCTCCAGAGGAAATCCAGTGTGTTCCCAGGGAACCGTGTCTGAAGTCAGAGAGAGACTGTGGAGAAGCTAAGTGAGAAAGGAACCCCCAGAAAGTGGTGTCATGGTGGGTGGGTGTCCAGAGCGCAATGACCTTCCCAAAAAAGCACCTTGAGAAAGACACCTCAAGGGCACAGGCAGGTTTGGGCTCACACTGGGTGATTGCAGCTCTTATGGGATTGGGGGGACACAGAAGGAGAGATGGGGTCTTTGTGTGGGGTTCCAAGGAGAGCTTTATTGAGCTTGCTCCTCAAAGAGATCCAGAGACAAACAGCCACTCAAGCAGGGAAAGCAGGAGTTTTTATATGGATTTTGAAGGGTGGAGCAAAACACCAGGGCCAATGGGAGGAGGGCACAGGGGTGGAGAGAGGAGAAAGGGCCAATGGGATATATCAAATCTGCATGTCACAACAAGGCATGCTGGGAGAAGCCTTTTTCCTCACCCTAACCTGTGGTTATGGCTTGAGGGGTTTTCCCTCCAGGGGATGGTGGTGGGCTCTCTCCCTGTTGGCCCAGTGGCCTCCACAAAGTGGTGCAGGGGTGACTCTGTCTAGGGTAGATGGTTGTTAATTGCTGCCCCGAGATGTGCAGAATGTCTCTGTTTCAGCCCGTGTGTCCAAAGAACAAGTCAGTTTTCTTTCTTCAGTTTTCGGTCTTGAAGTTGTTTATTAATTCTTATCTATAAAATTTTCTTTCTGCCCAGCCAAGATCTGCTCAGCAGAGCAGCCACAGGCGCTGTGACCGCCCCTGGGCAGTGTTGTCGTTTTATACTACAAACTACTTTTATCATATTTACACTTAATTCCCAATACCTATCACCTGTGTTAGACAGTGAAATTCTATTCTAAACCAAAGTGCCAACATCACTGCAGAAGATGGAGACCAAGAAGAAGAAGAAGAAGAAAGGCTGGATGCACCCAAGTTCCTCCATCTTGTTCCCACAGCCCCCATACCAAAAATCCTAAAATCTACATTTTCACCCTGTGATAATTTTATTATTAAACTTCTGTGACTTTCAGGTCCTCATACAAAGCTGGTAACTTGCTCCAGGTTTCAAAATCAAATCCCCAGGTGCTCTGGGCTGCATGCCCGGGTCTCCAAGCCCCCCGGCGGGGTTCTTGGCAAATGTGGACACCCGAAGGATTGAACTGAGTTCTGACAGCTCTGCAGCTGCCATTTGAGGAGTTCCAGTGCTAAATTCTGTGCCAGTGTTGTCATTTACCTCAGCTGTACATTTGTGGTTCTGCTGCCTGGCTTCTTTCATTGCTACTGCAATTGCAGGCTGCTGAGCTACTCCTCCCTGTCAAATCACTTCAACCCAGGGCTCAGAAAGTTTTGAGTCCATGATGGGAGCAATGGCCAAGGCCAAGCTCCCTTGGCATCACTGTGGTCACTCCTGGGAGCAGGGGTGTCCTTTTACCAGGCTGCAGAGGGTGGAAGGAGAAGTGGCCAGGCTAGACTAGATGGCATGGAAGCAGGGCTTGGCAGCAAGGAAGGAAAAGCTGAAGCAATCTGGCAGGAAACAAAGTCTAGCAGCTCAAAGTGTAGTTAAAACATCAGCCGGGAATGATTTCTTACCTCACAAATATTTGAAATTGCTTCCCAGGAGGAAGATATGAGACATCTTCTGTTGTTTCTGATGAGAGAGGAACTCTGTTCCTGGTTGAATAAACTGTGTTTTCTTTGAAACAGAGAGAAAAGAGACTTTTAAAACCAAAGCTGTAATTAAATGTGCAGCAATTCGAAGACTATTCATATTGGTAAATGTTATTGACATTTCCTTTCTGCTTTTTCCAGTGGAAACAAATTATTAATACCCTGTTGTTGCAATAATGAGTTCTTGATAGACATAGAATTTATTTTTCCTTGTACTGCTTTAGCCTTGAATCTATTCTCACAAGTGAAAAATAGATATAATTTTGTTTTAGCATCACTGGCATTGACAGAAAGAGGAGCACAGTATTGGAACACCATGAAATGTATGGCAAGGCTGCTCTGAAACCAAGCAATGTGAGAACACCATGAAATGTATGGCAAGGCTGTTCTGGAATCAAGGAATACAAGACACCTGTGCAACTTGTCACCTTCCAGTCCCTGGAATGGGATGGGATGATCTGGGTAAACTGAGAAAGCAGTAACTGAAAACCTGACCCAAATCACTAATGATATGGAAATCAGCTTTTAAAATATTTCCTTTCCTACTCCAGGTAGTTGGTTAGACTTGGAGTTCCAGCTGCTAACTTGGAGCTCCTGGATCTGCTGCCTCTATGGTGCTTTGGTATTTGAGCTGTTCTACTGCAGCAACTACTACTACACCTGTCCCCTGAGCAATTACAGGCCTGCTTTCTCCTTTAAGGTCAGTTGGTTTATCTTTTTTTCAATTTTTTAGGTACAGATACTTTAGAACATTTAGCAAAGAACTCTAGAAATCTGGATAACTGCTAAATTATACTGCTCAGCCTTTCTCCAGTTTACCACTAATTAAATGTTCTTATGATGCACTGGGACAATTATAATAATTGATGGGTTTTTAAAAGGAGCTGAGTTGAAAATGCTTTTCTTCTGGAACATGCCTCATTGTGGAGCTGGAAAATGAAAGGAAATAATGTGATAATATTTTATTATACAAGAATATAGAAAATAAAAGTATCTCAATTAAAAAATACAAAATTCAGCAGTTTGATCTGAGCAGCACAAATCGTATCAGTAATGAAATGGGTTTTGTTGTTGTTGTTGTTTGTTTAGAAAAATATTTTATGGACAAGCATGACTTGTATGGAGAATTAATATCTTTTATTACATGGGATGATGCAGGTGGAAAAAAATATTTCCATAGGCATGCAGTACTTCCTTTTCTTATAAAAATTCTAACAAAGCAAAAGAAATGTTATGTCAAAATCCAAACAGATTGTATCCACTTTTTTGGAAACAAGACATTCAAAATCAGCTGAATTCTCCTTTAGCCCAATTGACTTCATTGCTGGTTTGGAATGGAAATAAGTGTTACCTGGGGGAAAAAAGGGTTTTCAATTCAGCCATAGCAATACATTAGGGATGAAAAAATTCCAGACACCAGCTTTAGATCAAGCTGGAACCCTGTGCCTGGCCACTGAGCTGTCTGCCAGCAGAGCAGCCTCCCTGTGCTGTGATCCATTGATTGGGATGTTGGCAGCCATGGCCAAAGGACCCAAAGAGCAGCCCAGGAGTGCCATTGACAGGGTGCTGTGCCCTCCTGGGGCTGATGGACAGGGTGCTGAACGTGCCTTGGCACAGCACCCACCCTGAGAGCTTTGCAGGCTGCTCTCATCGCTGCCTGCTTCCCTCTGCCCTGCAGCAGGGCTCTCCTGGGCTGCCTGGGAGTGTTTACACTTCCCTGGGAACACAGGCCCCCAGTGTTTATCCACACAGTCAGAAATAAAGGCAAGCAAATAAACAAGAGGCTGGGACTGTTTCCATCTGCTGTGCCCCAGAGCACTGAGCATCCTGCGTGCAGCACAGCTGAGACCTGCTGCTCCTGCTCCTCTCTGATGGGAACAGCCTGCCTTGCAAGGGCTTCAAGCTGTTTCAGGAGCTCGTACCCACACCACACAGAAATACAGAGTCCTTTGTGCCTAATTTACCACTGTGCCTGGCTTTGAAGAAAAGTGGGATGTGGAGATTTTTGCACAAGGCACTGTTTTCTTTTATCATTTTCTTTATTGTGTGCAGGTTGATTTGAGGCATTTCTGGAAGTTAAAAATCCCAAGAAGGAACTTTTTGCTCATTTGCACTATCTCTAATTAATTACTTCCTTAGAGGAAAAAAATAAAAGAAGCTTGGAAATTTTATTTCTCTGTGCATTGGAGATTTGTTTGACACAGACAGACATCACTACCTGACTACTATAAAGCTGCATTTATTGACTCTTATTTCCTCTCTAGTCCAGGCTCCTTTAGGGCACCTTGGGAATATCTGGAGCTCTAGAAGATAAGAGCTAGACTCAGAGCTAATTCCAAAATTGCTGACTGGCCATGTTGCCCTGATGACCACACCCAAGACTTGTCCATTGCTCTCTTCATGCTATGGGAAGCAAGAAATAACAGCACAAACTTACCCTGAAACCCTTTGGGTTGAAGGCAAATTGAAACCATCTTTGTTCCATGATGTCTTGGCTCCTTTGGATGGGCCATCTCTTCCTGTGTTTCTTTCCATGTGCTTTGAAAGCCATCCCCAGAGATGCCAGAATAGGTCAGAAATAATTACTAATTTTAAAGTGATGTATATTTTGGATGTGAGCAGTGCAATTCAAACTGTATCCCCCACCTTTCCCCCTGAAGCAGATGACAAAATATTGTGTGCAAAATGCAGCATGAAAGCACTGCCAGGATCTTGCTCCAATGGCTCTGGTGGGCCTCCTAATTAGCAAGGAAAATTGCTGAGAATGAGGTTTTGGTAGGTAAGCCTGTTTTAGTGCTGGTGAGTATCTGTAAACACAGCTGTGCAGAGGTGCTGTTACATTTGCATGCAGTCTGCAATGTCATTTACATCTAAAACTCAGCTGTAAATTATTTATGTCTGCCCTCTCTGCTTCAGGTGAACACACGGGTGCCCTTCCTTGCCCACAATATTAAACCATAGTCAGGGAGTGGCAGTACAAATGTATTTGGCTCTCATTTTGAGGTCCCCATGGGTCATGGCATCTGACATGATGAGCCCCCCAGCCATAGGGAATGCAGCAGATATTGTTTGACCAACCTAAGGCTTGGAAAAGGAACAAAGGAGCTGTGATGGGAAGAAGGGAGGAGGCGAGACATGAGGAAATTAAGATTATTTCTGTGTAGAGGAGATGTGCTTGAAGAAAAAGCTGGTACATACAGGTCAGGAAATTATGGCACAGTTTTGAAGAATTGAAGAGACAATGGTCCATTCAAGGAGGTACCTTTGAGACCCTCCTCTTATTCTGCTACAGGGTGGTAATATGAAGGAAGATAGATGTTACAAATGTGGGTGCTTATATTTCTGCTGCTGTGTAGAAATATGCAGCTTCTTGTTCTCTGAGACAACTGGTGAGGATAGCACTCAGCAGGTTTTCCTGGAGCAGACCACACTCATGGGCAGAGCCAGAAAATTCCTCTATTCCCAGTCCAAGCTTCAAATCAGGAGACACTGGAGAGAACACAGGTGCCTGATATCCTCTCATCCATAGCACATCAGAAATTTTAATGTGTAACCTAAGGTGCCTGCTATGTGATAGAGAGAAAAACAGTGTTGGTTATGCTTTACTGGAAAAAACCCACACTTTTAATATGTTTGTTCTGTTTATCTTTACTTAAAAAGAAAAAAGCCTCGGGGATAATGGGGACTGCCTGCCTCTACAGAGTATTTTGTGCCTAATTAATTTTATGTATGGACATGAGCTCCTTTATCTGCTAGATTAGGTATCAGTTCTAATGTAACATTTCTTGCTTGTAGTTGGGGGCACAGGGCACCATTTTATTGGCTATTTTAGATTGCTTGTTTCATTTTTTTATACTTCAATAAAACTTCTGGCATAGTTGCCATTTTCCCTTTTCTCATAGTTGAACAGACAACAACGTAAAGTTTTCAGACAAAAACCCTGGAGGTTTTACTGAGTTCGCAAAGATGAACAAAAGCAATGAGCACAGTCAGACCTGTCAGCAGAAGTTGTTTTGTTTCAATGATCACTCCACCATGTAGAATAACAAACTCAAAAGCAGCATCTCCCAGAGACTCTCTCTGACTTCTCCAAGAAGTACCCTAGGAGAGGTGGAACAGATTAATGGTTAATCCCTAAAGAGAGACTGATGATTGCCTGGAAGGGACCAGAGAAGGCTCTGACAGTCAAAAATCTTCCTTCCTGCAGCCATCCCACAATCTCTCTGCCAATATCCTTGTGAGGACAAGCCAAACCTTGTCACTCACTGAAAGGACTGAATAGCTCAATATCAGCTTTTACCTAAACTCCAATACATGGGAAAAAATGTGCATAAGGAAAACCTGATGTCCAGCATCACACAGGGCAGGAGCACAAGAGTCCAAAGAGGCTGAGACCAGGGCAGGCCAGAGGAGGCTCTCCTTGCATCCAAGCTCAGCAGCAATCTTAGAGACACTCAAAGCACTCCACAAACTGATCAAGGAAAGAACTTTGACATCAGTAGAGCTTAAGGGCTTGGGCTGAAACTGAGCTTCAAATGCTTATCTCTGAACTGAGGACAATGGGGTAGTTTAGGAAGCAATATGAGCCTGAATATGATACACAATATGATATAGACTTAACCTAAGAAAGCCAGAAGAGCAGCAGAACTCCCACTGTATACAAATTACTGACTCTATATATGCCAAAGCATGACCTCCAGCTAGGATATAATAACCAGCTCTCATGAACAGCACTCATTATATTGTGTCCATTATAAAAGTGCAGCTACATGACAGTGCCATAGGCCATAATGTTCTCACTTAGAAGAATTTCAATTTTCTTCTGAGACAACATCTCCGTTTTGCAGGCTTATTTTGTGCATCCTGTGCTCATTTTTATTTTATAGGATGAGATGTGGGGTACATTTTTGAGGGTTTTTTTCTCCTAAAGAAACAAAAGAATTGCACACACACAAAAAAAAATCTGTCTTGATTTGGGAGGCACGGCAAGGCAAGGATTCAACCAGTGTAAATCAGCATGATAAACACCAGCTGAGGACTTTTGCCAGACAACTATAAATCTGCTGAATCAAAGTGTTTGTCAGTGACCAAAAACATCTCACAGAAATGGCCTGGCTGGCCCTCTGTTGACACAACAGAAAGATATTGCTAAATCAGCAAGAAACCTTGGATTTGTTGTGTGATGACTTAAAAGAGGTTTTCTCAGTTGTTCTCTCAGCTCTTCTTCCTAAGTGTGAAATAACTCAAGGAGCACAAGTATCTGGCTAAGGAGTGGGAGAAACACCTGTGGGATTTTGGATAAAATACTGAATGGCATAGGCAGATCCAGGCAGTCTGGCAGAATTTATCAGCTGAGTTTCTGCATTTCATCTGCTCCAACACACCGAGGAAACCACAAAGATGTCTCCACGTGCTGCTAGGCCTGTCTTAAGAGAACCGATAGATCTCTACCATATAGAAAGCTACATCTGACTGTTGCAGACATCTTTTATGGAAAATCCTTTCCTTAGGATTTTTCCTCTTGAGAAGCTGAGAGGCCTGAGGAACAAAATGTAAACATTGATTATCTGCTGCTGTGGAATGCAACAGGTGCATCTGTGATTGATCTCATAGAGTTGTTTCTAATTAATGGCCAATCGCAGTGAGCTGCCTTGGACTCTGTCTGAGACAGAGTCTCAGACATTGTTATCATTTTTTGCTATTCTATTTATCATTGTTATCATTTTTTGCTATTCTATTCTTAGCTTAGCTAGCCTTCTGATGAAAACCTTTTCTTCTATTCTTTTAGTATAGTTTTAATGTAATATATATCATAAAATAATAAATCAAGCCTTCTGAAAAATGGAATCAGATTCTTGTCTCTTCCCTCATCCAAGAATCCCTGTGAACACAGTCACATCTGACAGTCTTCCTCAACACCCTTCATTCAATGGTGTGGAGATGAGATAATGTAGAGCAGGATGCCACTCACCCAATCCTGCAATACCTAAAAACAACTGGGAAGAACAGCATCTCCTCACTGCCTGGTTCCTTCTCATTAGCCATAAAGGAAGTGGAAAGGAACAAACTCCAATGGTTTTGGTGTTTTCATAAAGGCCTGAGACCTGGCAGTGACTATCCCTGAAGAGATGCCAGTCTGGGTGAGCTCCTGGCCCAGGTTTTACAGAGTGTGGGGAAAAGCATGGGAAAGTCTGTCCCCAGAGAGACAGGACAGGCAGGTTTCCACTCCAGCTGCAGAGTTATCTCTCTGCTGTTATCTCTCAGCTGTTATCTCTCTGCCCAAATACAAATATTCTGTGATACATCTTGCACTGAAGGCAAAGAACCCTCCTGAGGGCTCTCTCTAGGATGCTAAAGTGTTCCACACAGCCAGGAAATATTGTCCAAGGCTGCCTTGAGGGCACATTCCTGTGAAACCCAAGGCAGAGCTCACACCAGTCCCTGTCTTCAATATCACAGCAGGGAATAAATACACCTCAAAGCCTTGGCAGGGATGGCAGCTGGGTTAAATCTGAGAACAGATTTCCCAAACCAGCTCACTGTAAGGGGCACCTGCAGCCCCTGCTCAGCCTGGCTTCTCTGTGGGGCTCTGCTGGGTCTGTCTGGGCTGGAATTAACTTTCCCCACAGCAGCCCTGATAGTGCTGTGCTCTGTGTTTTGGCTGCTGCTGAGCAGTGTTCCCACAGCATCAAATCTTTCTTTCAATTCCTCCCTCAAGGACCAATAGGCTGGCTGTGGACCTGACCCAGAGCAGTGATACAGCCAGGACAGCTGACCAAGATGACGAAAAAGCTGTCCTATACCATTCTATGTTCAACAAAAGATCTTATAGAAACGGTAAGGGCAGGGCATATGTTATTAAGGTATTTGTGTTCCAAAGCAGCCACTACACATATTAAGATCTACTTCCCAGAAAGCAGTTTAACACCATATGGGATGTAATGAATTTATAGTTCTTAAGGCCTTTGCTTCCATGCACGGTCTTTGCTTTCTTTCATAAAACTGTCCTGACCAACAATTTTTCAGTTTATTTTCTCATTCTGTCCTGTTGAAGAGAGGGACTGAGAGAGGAATTGGGTGGGCATCTGACAGACAGACAAGAGTAACCCACCCCACAGAAGACCTTGTCAATCAATGGTGCCAAATCTACACATAAAAAAAGGTTGTAAAAGTGAAATGGTCAGTGGTAAATTAACCTGGCAAAGAATCAAAAAATCATTACACAAGAAGAAGGAAAGACTAGGGAAAGCAGAACTCACCTCTAAATCATCAGTAGTAAAGCCATTAATGGAGAGTTTGTGGTTTCCTGGGTCATTGCTGATTGGAGAGCTTCAAACAGGCACGTTAACAGAGACATCACATTGTTGTCTTCTCCTCTCCAGGATGAGAACCCTTCTCTTGGTGTTCCCACTGTTCTCTCTCTGCCTGGCTTGTGGGACACATCCCCAGATCAGATTTCTCTGTTCTGTCCCATGCTAGCAGCCCAAAGTATCCCAGCAACAACCATACAAACTTTAGGGAGTGATGGGAAGACCAGGGAAATTGTCTCACACTCCCTGAGTAATACTAGTCCTTTCTTGCACTTCCAGTTTCCAGCTAAACATTTTTATGCCAGTCTCTACTTTTCTTTAAAGCCCACTGTTACCAATGCAATTCAACTTTTCTGATTAGGCTCTGTGTGTCTGTGTGATCTGTACTGACAACCTCTGAACCTGCTGGCCAAAAATATTGACAGATGTGAGGTTCTAACACTTTATGAAAGCCTTGTCAATCCTTCCAGTGAAAAAATCTTGGCATGAAGTTAACCTTAATGAGTAAATGCTTCAAAGAGATTTGCTGGGCCACTGGTGGGTTTTTATTTCACTCAAGTCATCTCCTTCTTTGCAACACGTTTGGGTAAGATTTTTTTTTTTCCCCACTGAGCTTAGAACTTGCTTGTGCAAGTAGCCCTGTGAAAACGTTAGGAAATTTTCATGATGGCAAACTTGTGGAGGAAGGATACCCCAAAGATACCCCATACTCTCTACAGGTGATGTCAGAGACATAGAGGTTTATATTATCATTTTTGGCTGGTCTACTCATCTCCTTCAGGCAAGAGCATTTTATTTGCAGAAATTTTATTTTCAGGTGAGATGGCAGACCTTTAGCACATGGTTGGCTGTCGCAGACATCTTTTCATTAAAAATCCTTTCTTGGGATTTTTCTTACTGAGAAGCTGAGAGGCTTCAGGAACAAAATGTAAACAATGGTTATCTGCTGCTGTGGAATGCAACAGGTGCATCTGTGATTGGCCCATCTTGGATGTTTCTAATTAATGGCCAATCACAGCCCAGTTAGCTTGGACTCTGTCCCAGACATAAACCTTTATTATTCATTCCTTTCTATTCTTAGCTTAGCTCATAGTTTCTGAGATGAAACTTTTCCTTCCATTCTTTTTAGTATATTTTTAATGTAATGTATATCATAAAATAATAAATCAAGCCTTCTGAACATGGAGTCAACATTCTCGTCTCTTCCCTCACCTGAAAACCCCTGTTACCGCTGTCACAGCTGACCATTAGGATTCATGGTTGATTCGTGACTCAAGATGAAATTAAAAACTGTTTCCAGAGTTCCTGAGCTCTATCTCTCCTACATTTCCTGTGATGGTTGTTACAGCAGTACCTGCCCTAGTAAAAAAGCATCACTTGGGGATTCACTAATAAGTTCAAGTGCCCAGGAGAGGTGTGGGAGGATGTGCTTGTTGCAGGTATCTCCTGTCTCCAGGAGGAAACACACCAAAGGTATTTTAGAAAAGGTCTTTCCATGCATTAATTAGAGCAACACTGAGTCACCCATCTCATTAAACTGCTGATAGAGATCAGCAAATACTTCCTTCACAAGAATTTGACATCTTCCAGGGGCTGCAAGTAACAGTACAAAGAGACATATATACACCCCCTGTTTTACTGAGAACTTCTGTGAACTGTTTTGTGATGGATCTAAATGTTTGCTATCAGCTTCTGCAGGATTAAACATGGAGGCTTTATCCCCTTCCCTGTATCCAGGACAGATTCTTGGGAGCTGTAAGCTTGATGCCCTCCCCATCTGGCCTGGTGGCACAAGGATGTGAGTACAGGGGGATATTTAGCTGGTAATGTCCAACTCCTGTAGATTGTTTCAAGGCAGTGGCAGGAGGGGAAAAAAAAGGAGGAGAAAAAAAGGCCGTCAAGAACAAACCCTCAGCATTTTTTAAGCGATAGTGTTTTTCCATATTTAAATTCTAGGAGAGGTGAAATGGCAGCTTTGTGAGTCTCAGGCCTTACTGATGAAATTAACCCCACTAAATCTTCCAGGCTGGCCAGAGGGTGAGAATGCTCCTTCCTCCTTCCTCATCTTGCTACTGGAAGGGGAGCAAAGGAAGGAGATTCACTGTCCCTTCTGTAATCCTAGGCTGTCTGAAGTTTCCCTGTCTGAAATTCTCATGAGAGGTCTGATGTCCTGTTTGACTTCTGGGAGATTGTAAAACAGCTTTTCCTGGTGAAACATCAAACTGTCTTGAAAAAGCTTACATTTTTCAATAGAAAAACAATTCATTTGACCATGTCCATTAGAAGTTTTTTTAAACAAGTCTAATAAAAAAAAAGAAGCTGGAGTTGGTGATTTCATTTCTTATACATTTTTAAATTAAAATTCTGCTTAATTTGTAGAGCTGTTATGCAGAAACTGAGGACCATGACATAGCTCATTCAAGATTTGATTTAGTATTTCAGGAATCATGAAGCTGTCTGTGTTAAAAAAGAGTATTTTCATAATGAGCAGTAATGTGCACTTGAGTCTCATAGGGCGGCACTCGTGTGTGTTCCCCACCCTTTTTTTCTTCTTATAAGTCAAAGCACAAGCGAGACAGCCAAAGTTACATTTCAGAACATCACAAAACTCCCTTTGGCAGACAACTTATTCACACTGGAGAAAAAGCAATTTGCCAGGTTCAAAAATTAATTAAAAATGCCTAATGTGACTCAAGAAATCACACTCTGAACCCCTGTGATACATTTTTAATGGAAAAATACTCCTGAAATTCATTCAATGCTATAGATTTATACCCTCCAAATAATTCAAAGCAACATCTCCAGAACTACCAATGATCTAATCTCCCAAACTGAAAATTATATGAAATAAGGCATTTGACATTCAGTAAATACTCCGATATATTGTTCAAAAAAAAAAAAAACCAAAAAAAAAACCAAAACAAACCCAGGCAATAAAAAATACTGGTAATTAGGAAGACTGAAGGGGAATATTTCATTTGATATAAATCAGAAATGACAGTTCACAAATAATTCAGTGCTTCCATTATTACAGTTTAAGGGTTTTGTAGGGCATACAGTGCTGCTTGCTACCAAGTAACTCCACCCCAAATGCAGTGATTTGGGATAGCAGGTGTGGATTGATTTGGTACAGGATGACAGCAGCTATTTAGAAACAGTAAAAGATCTGTGAAGTGACTTGTGCTCCAAATTGACTGTATTTTTGATGGGTGTCTTGAGACACCTTGGAGGGACTTGGGTTTTAAGGATTCACCATGTTCGGTGCTCTCTCAAGTGTGTCTGATAAAAGAAGTTGTGTACCCAGAATTACTAATGAGGCTTTGAAGATTTGGAATAGAAATGTGCATATTAATCCTTAAAAGAGCTCCATTTTTAAGTCTACCATTGCTGCCTCCTTCTAGAAAAACATCAGTTTCTCACCCTGAAAAATCATGTCATGTTTCTTTCATCATCCATGTTCTTTAAAAAATTTAATTTAGCACTTAGCTGCCAGTGTCATTGAGGGGTTGGATGTGTCTTTTAAGGAATCCTTTAAAAATTTGGATCCTGGTTTTGTTTGGGCAACCACAGAAGCAATGAACATCTACAGGAATGAACTGAACTCCCCTCACTGAACTTCAGGGGGGTTCCTTCCATGAAACCCTGCTCCCCAGCACATGGAAAGGATGCATAAATGAGACTTTATCACAGGGGAAGACTAATATTTGTAAAATGTGGCCCAGATGACAATATTTGGGAGTTACATGCTGGCTGTGGGTGAGTTACTGGCATCACACTGGGTATGAATGGTCTCTGGTTAAACAGGGTTGTGCACATCTGTCAGGGCTGCACCTACACATTCCTGGGCAAAGCAGGGCAACCAGACGGGGCTTGAAAATGTTGTTTTCTTTGCAGATGTAGTGCTACCCACTGCCCTGTTCTTGCTGCCCATGCATTTGTATCCATCAGTCTTACACTCCAGTTAAAAACAATCTAGTAGAAAATCCAGAATTCTTGGGAATATTTGTCTGCTTATGTGGTGTTCCTTTTCCTTTCATGCATATTTTTCTTCTCTTTAAAATGTTGATAATATCGAATTGAAGCCATATCTTAAGGATGACTTCATGTTCGTCATTGCTACTGCTAAGGAAGCCCAGGGTTTGAAGTGATTTTATCTTCTCCCGTGTAAAAGATGACCCATCTGGCATTTAATCGAAAATCAAAATTTTTATGAGCCATTATGAGTCAGGGAAGTGAGAAAGAAAACGAAACAGATACATATACATAGTGGCTTGTGGCATGTGACATGGGTTGCAGTCAGGCTGGTGGAACATCCTGACTTCAATGATGTAAGTGAGGCCACAGAATTTAACCCATGAAATGCCTAAGACGAAAATGATAAAGAGAAGGGGGGGGGATAGAAAAAGAAGAAAAAAAGAAAAAAGAAGGAGAAAAAGAAGAAAGAAGGAGAAGAAGAAAGAAAGAGAGGAAGAAGAAAGAGAAGGAGAGAAAGAGAAGGAGAAGAAAGAGAAGGAGAAGAAGAAGGAGGAGGAGAAGAAGAAGATTAATAATAATAATAATAATAATAATAATAATAATAATGGAAAAGGAAGGGGGAAATAAAAGAAAAATAAGAAAACCCCCCCAACCACTTCCCTTCTCAGAAGTTGGGGGCAGGAAACTAGTGGGTAAAAATTCACCTTCCACTGTAGCAGATGCAGCCTTGCTGCAGATAGTGAAGCCATCACACTGTGCATGAAAAGCAATATGTGCACTTAGTTGGTGCAGTGTAAATCCAGGCAGAAGGAAGAGGTAAAAGAAGGGGAGAAAAGAAAATAGAAGTACAATTCCCATATCTCTGGAAGTAACAATTTTTAACATTTGTTTTGAATAACAACATTAAAAAATCACCCTAAATCTTCCATATTGAGTCAAAAGAGCAAGACACAGCTTTTTCTGCAAGGAGATTAAACAACCATCTCCAAAAAGGCAGAGCTGCTGTTTTGGGCCTCCCACAAAATGTGAAGCAACTTCTCAGCCCTGGCAGGGCACAAGCAAAGCCCAGCACACCTGGTCTGAGACTCTGTCCCTGCTCCCCCCAGGGATCTGGACCTTCCCTCCCAGCTCACACTGAGTCCCAGGCTGAGCTGAGCCTGCCCCATGGCAAGCAGGGGCCATTAAAACTCCAAAGATCTCAGCTGGCTGTGCTGCGTATTTATTCCAGCTGGAGATCATTTCTCCATAGCTTCCTGATCCAGAAATAGTCAAGTTTGTGACTTCTGGAAATCCCCCTCCTCCTGTTGAAATATGGCGTTTTAAAAGCCATTTCCTTTATCTGTGGGTTTTGAAAACATGCCATGGGTTTAAAATATTTCTTTTAAGGGTTATTCTTTTTTTACTGAAACAAAAGTCAATTTTCACAAACCACAAATGTCTGTGGTCACTCAGGTTTACTAATACTTTCCACAAATATCTCAGACAGTAGTTAAAATAAA